AAAGCTCTTACCTTCTTCAGAGTGATGGAGAGCGCCTGATGGAGCAGCAGACACGGCTCCTTATATACACCTTTCCAACAATCTGATTAAACTGTCTCTGTGTGCCACGTCTGTCCCCGAATCATTAACCAGCCGTTACATTTGTGTTTGACTAAGTAAATGTTATCTTTAGATAATCTGTACCTTGTTTAATTGTCACACAATTCTTCATACAGAGTCTGCAGAGCGCTGGCCTTGCAACGAGTTCACGTCTCCATGTCCTGTAACATTAAATGTCTGCTGTTGTGCTGCTCTGCAGACTCCAGACATTCAAGTGTGGACGTACTTTGATCTCATCCTTATTCTCAGTATAAATTAAACTCAAAGTTACAGTAAGAGCGGGCACGTGACCGACTGAAAATGTGTTTTTTTCAAAAGAAGTCTTGCTTCGTTATTCAATCGTGCATGCTCCTCCAAATTGTTCCCTTCCTGATTTAAACCAAGTGGGGACATTCCTACATATCGTGTGTGGGAATGTCCCCCTGGAAGAAGTTTCTGGAAACAAATTGTAAAATCAATTATCTGAAACATTTGGTGTGAAAATAATGAGTTCACCTAAATGTATGCTTTTGAACCAAACTCAACCAGACAACTTTATTAATAAAAAAATAAAAAAAATAATATACTGTACACGGTAGCAGCAATAGACATAAATAAAATATACCAGTACAGATTAATACTAAAATAGCAGCAGCAATTAAAAAAAAGGTAGCAGCAGCTATGTTGTTGTTTTGTATTTGTTCTTTGCGTTTATAAATAGCTGCTCGAGCTTCGATTCACCATTTTTATTTGTATTTATTTCTTATTAAGACTACGTGAAACTCACTGTAAATATCTTCCTTGCGCTGTGCACTTCAGAGAAAGACGGGGGGGGGGGGGGGGGGGGGGGGTTAAGAGAATTGTACTGTCTCCGTTCAGGTGTGTGACCTTATGTTGTTTCTTTTTCTCTTATGTGTATAACTCTACAGAGCAATGGATTACTTCTACTAAATGTATAAGATGATGTGCACCTGCGTTTTTCTAAAATAAATAAAAAGTTGGTCAGGAAAAAAAACAATGCATGCATGAAAGGGTGAGGAAGAAAACGGACATAGAAAGGTTGGAGTCACCTGCAGAAAAAATACAACTTTGGACCAACTCACTGATCTGTGACTTTATTCGACTGACTTCACGCATTGCAACCTCAATAGAACAGGACATCACACATCCACTGAACTGAGCTCACCTCACCCCACTTCCCTCAGGACGGAGCTACAGAGCACTGAAGTGCAGAACGGCTCGCCTGATCCTACCGGCCCTAAACAAAAAGCCTCGCTGAACAGGCCAGCGTGGGGACTCTTGTCTAACTCTGTTTGTGTTACACTCTGTGTGTTTTGGGTATGAATGTTGTTTGGTGGGAATTGTCTGTTTGGACAGTAACTTAGAAAACTACAAATCCCACTGTTGCATCCACACACACAATGTGTACGAGTCTGTATAGCAGTCTGAGTTTCCACTGGTCCTGGGTCAGAAAACAGTCCTAAAGCAACATTTTTTTTTTTAAACAGACAAAGCATGTTTATTTTAAACTAAAACAATAGGTACTCAACATAAGCATATCCCTCTGTTGATTTTCTTTTTTTCCCCCTGGCATGTCATTTTCTGTTCATCTTTACTGTATAATTGGAAACAAATTACAGACATTTATTTTGGGAGCACATTTCCATGTTTTCAGTTTAAAAATGTTCCTTTTTTCCAATTATAGCAGCAACACCAACTAATTTGCTGTTTGATTGACAGCTGGTTACCTGCTCTTTGTTGTGGAGGAGGGCAGATGACACTGACCGTACCGATAAATGTCAGGTTTAAATAAAGAAAAGCTGTGAAACATAAAGCTGTCTGTCAGTTTTCTTAAAGTGTATGAACATGCAGATTGGTGGTGGATTTGGTCGCAATAAATGGGGAATCTGCTGAAATGTTGCAGAGTGTGTCAGGGCCGGCACCACTTCCAGAAGAGGTGAGCGTGATAAGGTGTGGGCTGATCTCTTTGTAACTTTATGTACAAACTGTAGAGTGTTTTAAACAAATGTGACAGGCCTTTTCTGTACTTGGTACCAACATGTGACCCAGTTTCTAAATGTGTTTACAGCGGACATGAATGATCTGGTGTTTGATCTGTAGTGTTATGGCAATACATTTATACATTTGACAGTTTTTCTTTTTTGTGTTTTTTGCGTGATAAGGTTTATGATGCAGCTTTACTACAACCTGAGCGTTGATATAAGTGTTACATGAAGCCAACTCATAGTCAGGCTGCGACGGACACTTTTGAATTTAATGCCTCACAGATGAAGATATGAAGAATAATTTTCACAGGTTTGTTATAAACAATAAAGACGTTCATATTCTCCATTCAGAGGTAGTCAAATGAGCCTCTCAGAGGACAGTGACAAAAGATAAAAAACATTTATGTGTGAATTTCAACGCTTATGTTATGGACAGTCTGGTGAACTTCATTTTCTTTGAATATTCAAAATAAGAACTCTCACAGAACCAGATAAGAAGAAGAAGATATGCTTTATTGATCCCTCTTAATTCAGTTTATACACTCTGTTGTTGAACATGCTACACACACACACACACACACACACACACACACACACACATACACATACTGAAACACACACAGACACACACATACACAATCACACACACACGCAGACACACACACACTGTCTGAAACACACACACACACACACACACACACAGTCTGAAACAGACACACACACACACACACACACACACATGCACAAACAGGATCCTGTGGTCATGCACTAACAGAGAGATGTCAGAGTGAGGGGTCTGCACACAGCGAGCGCTCCTGAGCTGGTGGAGGGGTGCGTTCCTTCCTTAAGGTCACCTCGGCCGTGCTCAGGATGTGAACTGGCACCTCTCCAGCACCCAGACCAAATTACAGACCTGATCCACACCGAGACTTGAACCAGTTCCCATCCTAAGTCCCTGCAGGCTGAGCTACTGCCGCAAACACACAGACCTAAAAGTGCAGACTCACAGGAGGCAGAGCTCGTTAAAAAGCAGAATTTGAAGTAACAGTGCAGGTCGCTACTCAGGTAAACAGTCAGCAGTGCAAACAAATCCAAAAAGGGGAGAAAAAACGAGAAGGCAGGCAACGGCCAAAATGGATCAGGCGTGGGCTGAGCTCTTTGTAACTTTATGTACAAACTGTAGAGTGTTTTGATCAAATGTGACAGACCTTTTCTGTACTTGGTACCAAAGTGTGACCCAGTTTATAAATGTGATTACAGCGGACATGAATGATCTGGTGTTTGATCTGTAGTTGTTAGTACGAATTTTCATGAAATTCATTAATCTTGGTAACTTCGTGAAATGTATTATTCAAGTCTGCCTACCACCTGTTAACACTCCTACCTTTAGGTGTCTGAAGCTGTAACCTTATATGAGTGAAGCACCTAAGTAGTAGCAGATCTATGTTTGGATAGGAGCCAACCATATATTGTCAGCAACTGTTTGCTCGACAGAGATTCTACAGTTGTTACGTATACAAATCAGTGTCATGTCATCTTTATTGTTTTATGGTGATGTACCCAAATGGAAAGGAATTTGTGGGTTGCACCTTTTTGACAGAATATAAAGTGTATGGCAATACATTTATACATTTGACAGTTTTTCTTTTTTTTTTTTTCTGTGCGTTTAATTTAAAGGACCTTAGAATGAAGCAATGACCAACTCCTATATGTTTGGTATGGTCAGAGGTGCTGCCTGTCAACAGGCAAGGCAGGCAACTGCTTGAGGCCCCTGTCAAGTAGTGGGCCCTCGCGGGCTGACAAACTGTAAAGCATAGCAGTGACTCAAAATGTGCAAATTTTACAATGACAGTAGGAAACCTCCCTAATTGGGCCCTGTCTCGGATCATTTTTAACAAACTGCCGATGAATGCTGGTGGAACACACCAGCATGTGAATTTTATTTTAGGGCCCCAAAATACTCTAGATTCTCCACTGGGTATGTTTTCATCTTTTTATGTGTTGGAGACAAAAAATGATGGTGTAAGTTAATAGCCTACCTTTTTTAGGCACTGGCAAATATGCAAAATAAAAAAGTCACAAGTTGATGTGGGTTTTTTTTTTAACCTCTTGTAAACATGCTTTGCTGATTATTAAACAGTCATCCATCATCTGTCATCATCATTCATCTGTTTGAATATTTATTACAATTTCTGTGAATTGTTTTGCAAAAATATTTTGGTTGTTTTGAGAAAAACCTTTCCACACATTCACCTCCTGTAGGGGGCGCCACTTCTGTCAGAGGCACAGAACGACATGAGACGGTTGACAAAGATTGTTTATGTAAAGATGCTTCACTCAGTAGTAAATATCTGGGGCACTTTACAGACAGCAGCAGAGGAAAAATAACTGCAGTGATAGATCATTGAACTCCTGCATTATGTTGAAGAAGGCAGTATTATTTCTATTCGGTCATTATTCTAGAATGTCCACTGGCTTTCCTGAGCTTCTGCAGCCAGCCTCTAGTGGACACCTGATGAACTGCAGGATTTTGCACTTCAGCAATAGCTTCATTTTTTTTTAACTCTGCTTGGCTCGCCTGTCCAGGTCCTGTTCGATATAATGCACAGACGATGGCTCCCAAAGATAAAGGCATCTTATTTATTTGCTATACGCATTAAAAAAGACCTGACACAGAGCCAGGTCGGGCTCGAAACGTTGTGTGTTTATTTTTATATATATATATATATATATATATATATATATATATATATATGCATTAAATTACATCTTTCATTAACTCTCTGTATGCAGACAGCATACGAACGATTTCCACAAACAAAATAAAATAAAACTTTAGAGTCTGTAAAATAACGTTTACGGAGTGAGTAGTGACGCTCTGCATAGAGGATCTTTGGCCGTGGGAATGCACCAGTAGGAAGCCGCTCGTTTGGCAGAAGGGAGGACCGGACGGGACTCTCTCTCGGCGGCGGCGGAGACTTGTGACAGCGGCGTACCGTCATGGACAGGACGGCCGTGGTGAAGGTCGGAGCCGCGGCCAGTGCCAGCGTCTGTGCCCTGTTCGGCGGCGTGGTTCTGGCCCAGTACATCGTCGCGAAGAAGAAGCGAGCGGGAAAGAAAACTCGGATCATAGAGATGGTGAGTAAATAGCTGATAGCCCACGCGCGTCAGGGCGGCTAGAGACGGATACGATCAGAAACAGGAAGTCCACCTTCAAAATAAAACCAGGACACGCTAATGACTAAGATTACCGTTCATTTATACGTAATAACGATGTATTCGGGGGTAATTGTACAATCTGTAGTTAGATGCTTTACTGAAGTAGATTGAATGTATTTTAGTTAAACAGCTGAAAGACAAAATCACATGCGGACAGAATTCCTTCATGGGCAGGATGAAAGGTTTTCTTCATCCTGTAATTGTATTGTTTGTTAATGTGTGAGAACATCCTCACTTTGGTAGGTGGACAATGTTTGTACAAAGATAATTAACCTACAGTTGGACCCAGATTCTCAAGATGAACTTTACTGTGTTTAATATAGGTGTTGCGAGGAAGTAGCACGAACAGGACAGCGCGTCTTTAATGTGAAAATCTTGGCGGAAGTGTGGCTCAGCGTGTGGCTGGGTAACTTTACACAAGCGGACCCGCACTGTGCTTTGCGCATGCGCTGCTATTCCCTAAAACAGCAGCTGTTTTTTTTTTTAGAGGTCACTAGCTAGCTTTTGTCCAACAGAGAGAGAGAGAGCAGTAGAGTCTCAGTTTGAGAGCAGAGCACCGTGACAGCTGATCCTCTGTGTCTCTGCAGATCCTCTGTGTCTCTGCAGATCCTCTGTGTCTCTACAGATCCTCTGTGTCTCTGCAGATCCTCTGTGTCTCTGCAGATCCTCTGTGTCTCTACAGATCCTCTGTGTCTCTACAGATCCTCTGTGTCTCTGTGTCTCTACAGATCCTCTGTGTCTCTGCAGATCCTGCACACAATCTTTGTGCTGCTTCCACTTGTCTGTTGTTGTGCAGACTGCATGCAGGTTACACAAGCTGCAGCAGACCAAACGGCACACACTCAGTCCAGCTTTGTAACCAGTCCGACAGGAATCACTCCTCAGTGCAAACACAAACTAAAGACAAATAATAGAGAAAACATTCAAATTAGTGTAGATGATAGCCTTACAGAGACTAGTTTGCATCCATGAGTATCACCTTTCAGATCAGAATTATACAGTGTACAAGACATTTAAGAAATGCCACACCTCCCTTTTCATGAAGCACAACATGCATTCAGAGAGAAAACGGTGTATATTGCACAGCAAACAATGCACACACCTCCTTACTAACTATAATTCTCAGGGCTGCACTCAAATATCAAACATTTTCACTCTGAATTTACCCTGAATATTCCGTTTGAAGTCTGGGTGAGAACTCAGCAGGAAATATTGGATCTCCGGCGTGCATGTAATGAAACTGCTGCTTGATGTTTCCTGTTCTCCTGTATGTTCTTCTCCATCTGACAATTCCCCGTTGTTCCTTTTTTACTTGATATATTTCCTCCTGGGATTCTGTTCAAGCATTGATATAAAGACACATATTCTCATTATAGCCCGCCCCCGTCCTGTCTGACAGGCATCGTCTCCCACTGTGAGGTGCATGTGTGAACAGTCAGGCTATGAAAATATGTGGCGCAGTGCTCATGACATGATCTAGATATTTTCAGGAGTGCATCTCCTGTAGAGAAAGACAAATAAGTAAAGAAGTGGTTGAAAGAGGACGTTTATTAATAGTTTCCAGTAATTGTTGTAAATATATGTTAACTCCGCCTCACAGTAAACATTCAGACTTTGGATTCTGCCGTCATTACATGGTGTTGCTGTGCTCAGCATCAGGACTATAATCTATATGATTCATGTCTGAGTTATTTGGCTCCACCTGAACAGCTGATTGTGAGCACAATGTACTCACACAGACGTCAATTAACCTGATATGACAGCTACAGACCGGTTCCTGTCACATGGCCTCATCCCTTTGTGAAGCTGGCGTTCAGCAGGTTTTCTTGGGTCTTTAAAGGGGTAGTTCTGTATTTTTCAGGTGTGGTTGTATGAGGTACTAATATATCATACATTTGGAAAAGAGCGGCAGTGACGTCAACAGCGCCTTTCTGAAAAGTCAAAAGATTTTCAACTCGCTAGGCGCTGGGATTTGTCTCCAGGAGGTCGCCTGCTGCCGCAAACGCTCGCTCCTCATTGAAAACAATTGAAGGAAGACGCTGGCGCGCTGATAAAATCGCTAGGTGGACTCGGAGCCTAACACAACTCCGCAGGAGAGAAGCCAATCTTTACACAGATTCAGTCACACACTACAACATGCTGAACTGACTTTAACATCTTTCTCTCTTGCTCATCGCAGACGGTTTGACGGGGAGAGGGAGGGGTTGGTCGTAGTGCGGCGTTTTAATGAGCAAATCCTTTTAATACTATAATACCGACATATAATACAGATACTGCAAAAAGGTATGAGGTCTTATCGCCCGACACTTCTGTAGAGTTTGTTTTAGTATCTCGGTTTTCCTCGGACACATACGTAAAAAAAAAAAAAAAAAAGGACACAAAAGCGGCGTCCATTTCTCTTACAGACAAACAGAGAGTAGGGCTGGGCGATGTGGACCAAAACTCATATCTTGATATTGATTAGCGGAATGGCGATACTCAATATATATCGAGTATTTTATTAACAGTGAAAACACATGGAAAAATAAACTACCTGTTTATGAATTTAAAAAGTTATGTTATAAAATAAAAATGTTCCTTAAATACAATAAAAGAGAGAGAGAGAGGAGGATCAGGGTTAAGAGGGACAGACAGTCAGTCATCATCAGTGAGATGAGAAAAAAGTGACCTGGCACCTCTATAATGTTATTTTAATGCAGCATAAACTATATCGATGTTAACGATATTGTCTTACCCTATATCTTATATATTGATATATCTTAAAAACTCGATATTAGAGAGCAGAGGAGGTGACACTTTGTAAACGTGTCCTATTAAATGTACGTAGAAGGTGTTTTTTAGTACGCTTGTCCTTGGTACGTCTTTTTAAGTGTTAGTGGACTCATCCCGGCCGTCAGCTGGCGTCTCTGTCTGTCCTCCACAGTGAGCAGGAGAAGATCAAGAGGAGCGTCTGTGTCTCTCTCTCTCCTCTAATGTGATTTACATTAACAGAGCTTAGCAATGGAAGGGAGCTGATTCCCATTCAGAGCTTCCTTTAGGTAAATTTAGATGCAACTTTATTGAGCTTGTTTAGTTTATTTGCATTTATTCTGCCAATGACCTGAGGGAAGTTGTGAAATCAAACCTTATATTTCCTGGATTGAAACGCCGCGGCTGCAGACGGAGACACGCAGTGGTCCGAGTGTGTGAGGTGAAATAGTGTTATGGACGCTCTTTTGTTAGCTCGGCTCTTTAGCAAACGCCGTCGTCTGGCTGGAGAGTGAAAGTAGAAGATGAGTTCTGTTTCCTGTCCTGGGTGGAAACTCTTCACCATCCTCCTTTTGATGAAGCACAAACATCCCCTCTGAGCCCCAGACGACTCCTCGGGCGCTCGTCAGGATTTAGTTTTCTCTCCTCTGTCGGACATTCTCCTCCTCTGAAGGCCGTTTTTTTTTTTAACGACTCTCTAAATGCTTCTGCACGTTGGGAGGAGAGAAAGTGGTGGGGATGACCTGCAGCAAAGGGTCGAGGTCGGATTCAAACCCACAGCTGCTGCAAGGAACACTACGGCCCCTGTACATGGGGCACGTGACAAAACCGCTAGGCCACCAGCGCCGCTTTTTAGATAGCGCTCTGACACAGACATGTCTGAACACTTGATCTCGTTGGTGTTTTTGTAACACTCGGAAAACAGACGCTTGGCGCTGCGCTTTTTCTCCAGGAGGACGCCTCCTCCTGCTGCAAACGCTCTCTCCTCATTGGAAACAAAAAGAAAACCTCCAGGTGGACACGGCGCCTAAGACTTCTAATTTTGTTGCCGTGGTGTCAAACAGATCTGGTATCCTGACAACTGTTGAACAAAGCTGAACACAAACTGTACTCAGTAACTTCCTGTGACTTTGATGAGAGCGTGTGTAGAGCAGCAAACGTCGGACGTGTTTGGATCCTTTCCGTCGGGGGTCACATGAGTCACAGCAGCTCCACGCCGACCATGTGACACGACGTAATGCTGAACATTAATTGTCTTAACCATTGAGGAGAGTCTGACTTCAGCGCAGACGTCTCTCACACGTGATCGCGCTTTTAAAAACACACTGAAACGTCTTGATTGATTTGACAGGAAACATTTCAATGACTCATTTTCCAGATAGTGTCACTGACTGTAAACCCTCAACTCAAGTCTGCTTTGTAGTTCTGAGTGAAGTGAAGAGGAAGCCCACTTCAGTGTACTTCCTCCTCTTAACCACTAGGGGGGCGGTGCAGAGCTGTGCATGAACAACAAGCCTGCAAACAGAACTCCCTCATGTCAGAGAAGATACACTTTATTGTCCTTTTTGTTTTGCATTAAAGCTCAAATATCCTCACATCCCAATCACATCAAACATGAACAGACATCTTAAGAACAATGTGAAGTCACAGTGCACGAGCGGGTGTATATTGATTCATTGATTTAATTTATTTTCGTGTCATGCACACAAAGTGCCCAACACTCGTGCTCATAAGACACCAGAAATTCAGTTGCAGTGGTTTACATTTACATATCATAGCATTACAAAGTTGCCAGCTCCTGTCACAGTTCAGTCTTAAACGTGTTATGTCTTCTTTCCCAGGCTTTACAAACAAAATCTGCTATATCAAAGGTTCCTTTTTTTAAAACACAACTCAAGTTTTTCATAATCGTCTAGCCGAAAGAAATCAACATAAATTGAAGACATTCTTTTAAAAACAACATCCCTGATGTCAGCATACATCGGCGGCTGTGTGTGACGTGCTCTACGGTTTGTTCAGCTGTGATATGGAGAGAGGAGGGATGAGGGAGGGTCTGTACTTGTTCCTCTTTCAGTCTGAAACCCGAAAGCATCTCTCACCCAGAACTTCCAGCAGTTACCCGCAGGCCATGTTCTCAATGTGCAGCATGGAGCAGCACCGCCTCTCTGAGTCAGCAGGGACTTGTCTTGTTTTTGTGCCGAGGTGTAATCAGAGAGTGTCGACCTCGTTTTTTGGAAGCGCTGCCTGGTATGTGAGGCGGTTGAGGTCGGCGGAGTGGAGGAGAGGACGAGTTTAACTCCAGCAGCTCTCAGGACAGCAGGAAACCTCGATCAGCAGGACTAAGAGTCAGTGCTGTATTTGTATTTGTACTGATGGATAAAACACAATCAGCCTGGGGCACGCTGGTGGCGCAATGGTTAGGGCGCGCGTCCCATGTGTTGAGACTCTCATCTCAAGCGGTAGGCCCGGGTTCGCCTCCACCCGTGGCCCCTTTTCGCATGTCATTCCCCGCTCTCTCTCCCTGGTTTCCGGCTCTGTCCACTGTCCTATCTCTGCATCAAAGGCACGAAAAGCCCAAAAAATAAACCACAATCAGCCCATGGTCCCCTTCTCGCCTTATGTCGACATGCTGCGTTGCAAAGATTTATGTTGCTGTTAGGAACAAAAAAACAAAAACAAATTGTAATTCTCTGACATTTAGAACCTTTTCCAGGTTGAAACTGTTCTACATATACAAGTCTACATTCTGTCCAGTCTGCAAAGTAATGCAACATATTTTATTAAAGTAATCAAACATTACAGTGTGTGAGGAAGTCAGTGTGCATGCAGTCTTGTAAATGTGTCAGATACACAAACATTATCAAAGGCAGTCTGCAGGCTGGAGGAGGGAGGGAGAGAGGGAGAGGGAGAGAACTGTGCAGGTGTGCTGATAAGGTGTCAGTCTCCTCCCACAGCTACCTGAAACAAGAGAAACACAGCCAGCAGGGGGAGACACAGAGCAGGTAGAGAGGTCGAACCCTGAGGTCGTCACATCCCACCTCAAGCTTTATCTTATAATTCAGTTTATGGTGCTGCCCTGAAACATAACGTCGCTCACATTTCTACATTTCATCGTTACCAACATACCATCAGTGTACCGTGCTTTATGTTCCCTCGATGTGAAAGACTTCTCGCGGCCTCTGAGCCAAAGAGAGGCTTTAACCCAAGAACCAGCTCGACCTGAAAACAGATCTGTGCGTTAAAGTGACGGACGTGTTCACACTTGCCTGGTTCCAGATGTGTGACCTAAATATTAAGGCAGCAGCAGAAAGACTATCCCTCTCGTGTGTGTGTGTGTGTGTGTGTGTGTGTGTGTGTGTGTGTGTGTGTGTGTGTGTGTGTGTGTGTGTGTGTGTGTGTGTGTGTGTGTGTGTGTGTGTGTGTGTGTGTGTGTGTGTGTGTGTGTGTGTGCGTGTGCGTGTGCGTGTGCGCGTGCGCGCGCGCGCGCGCGTGTGTGTGTGGAGGGAATGTAAAAATGTGTGTGCTCAGCAGTCATATACTGAAGCGAGTCATCAACTCTCAGATTGATTTGAAAGGCTTCTTTTTCAGGGGGTCAAAGGTCGAACCAGGCTGAATGACAAATGACCCTTTCTCCCCCCCCAGTCTATTTTTTTCTGAACTCTGTGTGTAAGTTCAACTCATGTCGGTATACTTGACGACTTGCTGTAAAACTAGTGTCAACATACGGCTGTCAAATGCTTTGATTCAATGTTTGATAGTAGTAAACAGTTTTAATCACAAGTTAAAGGAGCAGTATGTAACTCTGACCCCTAGTGTTTAAAATGGGTACTGCAGTCCAAATTCTAAACATGGTAGAGAGCTGCCCCCCCCCCCCCTTAGAGTCGATGGTCACGCAGGTTGTCATGTGGTGGACACTTTAGCCAGCTCTGCATCGGTCTGTAAACCTTTCTGCGTTCTAACCTCTCTCCATTTTTCAAAAGCATCTCCAACATTGATCCTAGTTTGAGCACGTTTCTGCTCGTGGAGCTTATTAGAAACATGCAGAGGCTTTTTAGGTCGGGTACAATCACTTCTATCTGAACCACTTCTCTTGCCCGCTTCCATCGCTGCAACACCTGTTGGTTTGACCTGATAACTGCTCTCATATCTGGCAAACAGAGGGGCGTCCAAAACGGCCGTGTGGGGGTGCCTTAAAACCGCCTACCTTCTCTGGTCTAAACAAATCCAGAGCATTCAGGACCAGAATCTAAAGTTAGAAGGAGGCACATTGTCCATTTGTATATACATTCTATGGAATTTGTGTGTGTGTGTTTGAGCCTCTCTGCACAGGGGGGAGGGGTCATGTTGTTTAATCTATTGTAGGCCACGCCCCCCTCCCTCCCTGACTGTTGCTGCAGATATAAAAGCCCTCCGCAGACACACAAACCTTTCCTCACTCCCGTGTTATCTGACACGACAGATCCGAGGTAAGCTTGTGTGTGTGTGTGTGTGTGTGTGTGTGTGTCTTTCTTATCATAAGGTATGTTGTGCATTATATCATAAATCCTCATAACTGTCGGTGCAGTAAATGTGTGTTTTATGTGTTTTTGTAAAGGAAGAGCAGGTTTGTATTTCTCTTTTCAAACTTTTCTGTTAGTGCAGGTTTTGTGACCTCGTGAAGAAGGCAGGCATGTTTACAGCACTCGTATAAACTGGAACATTATGTCGCCCTCCAGGAATGGGACTGTTACGTTCTTTAGATAAAGTTTGCACCGTCTGTACTCTGCAGATACGAAGCTAAGGAAGGTGTGTGTGTGTGTGTGTGTGTGTGTGTGTGTGTGTGTGTGTGTGTACAAGCAGGAAGGATCTAAAAGAGGAACTTCAGCTTTATTTGTAGTTTGTGTTCTGGAGTTCGAGTTTCAGAAAGATCAGAGTGATTAATGATCTGCTTCGAAATCTGATACTGATTATGTAACACTGCAGGATGGAGGGTTGTGTGCGTGTGCGTGTGCGTGTGTTAGGTTTTGTGTTTTATCCAGAAGGAGTAAAGTGTTCATCCAGATGAGATTTCATGCATTAATTTCAGACTTTAATCTCTGAAAGCTGAGTGTTTTGTTAGGACATAAACAAAAACATTGACAACTCGGAGGTAAATTTATGCGCCGTGTCCAAATAGCGTTTTCTTCTGAGCGCCATCGTCTTTTCTAAATGTGTGACATTCCCCGTATTTTAGCCGCCTACAGATCGTGTCTTGTCCCCTCATCCTCTGATCGGGAAATAAACGATCTCAAATATAAAACATGCTGTAAAAAGCAACGGAGCAGTGTCGGTCATACAGCGGCCGTTGTCATGGAGACAGGACGGCCGTGCACCGCTTTTCTTCTCACTTCACGCAAGAGCTCCAGAGCGCACAGTCAGCGCTTTTCTGCCCGGGGAAAACGCACCACGGGGCCTTAAACAGCGTGCACGAGTTTGCATAACATTGTTGGGGATTTAAGCGGAATTGGTCGACGCCTCGGACTGCTTTTTTTTTTTTTTTTCCTGTCGTATCGATACCGTTTGATTTCTTTCTTGTATTATATCTAAGTTTTTGACTGTGGTGGTGACCTCAGGTAGGAGCGCGACTCTGTTCTGTCTGTGCACAGTCAGCTGGTCTGAAGCCCACATCCAGCTCTTCTCTTCAACCCTCCGAAACACATCGTTAAGATCAACGTTTCTGTTTCATCAGCTTCGATAAATAAGCTGTGGATGGAAAACTTTCAGTTCTCATGAAGAACCGAGGAAACGTCTCAGAGCAGATGTTCTGTAGATCAGCGAGGAACACAGACTGCATGTAGAGATCCTTTGAAAGACATCAGCATACAGCAGTTCACTGACGAGCCCTGATTAGTTTACATTCATCAAAAAGTGAACAGAATGAAACAAGCACTCCGGGCTCACCCTCCTCCTCCCTTATGATGGATGCAAATGTTCTTTAATCCCTTGTTTTTCGTCCTGCAGAGTTTCACAGAGACGCTGTCAGTCAGAGCGGACCAGATGAGGCGGCTCCCCTCCTCGCCGCTCTGAGTTACTGTGACTGTTTGTTTGGCTGCTCAGCTTGTTATACAACTCCAGCACATTCCAGACATCAGCTGTTTCACGACCCTAAAACCCCCCTCCTCCAGACCGTGTGTGTGTGTGTGTGTGTGTGTGTGTGTGTGTGTGTGTGTGTGTGTGTGTGTGTGTGTGTGTGTGTGTGTGTGTGTGTGTGTGTGTGTGTGTGTGTGTGTGTGTGTGTGTGTGTGTGTGTGTGTGTGTGTGTGTGTGTGTGTGTGTGTGTGTGTGTGTGTGTGTGTGTGTGTGTGTGTGTGTGTGTGTGTGTGTGTGTGTGTGTGTGTGTGTGTGTGTGCTGCTTGTCAACAGGCATACTCTCTCCTGGAGATGAGCTCTTTCCTTCATTTCTATATTTAAGGACTCTCGTTACTTCATGAACCAGATATCGATTACTCGGTCACTGTGGACCTCCTGGACCGCTGCTCTGCGAGTCTGTAGGACAGCCGTCGTTCTGAAGTGATGAGTGATGGTTACCTGGATGGGACCTACTCGCTCACCTTGTCATAGGCTTTAACAGCTGGGGATGTTTGAACCATCATCATCAACCTTTATTTATACCTCAAAGCTCGCTGACCTTATATACAGTACAAGCATGTTTAAGGAGAACGGTGCGGAGCGTCTGTAGCCTCGAGGTTAGTGCGAACGCCACATGCACGGAGGCTGAAGTCCTCCAAGCAGGAGGAGGTACGGGTTCAAATCTCACCTGTAGTTCCTTTCCCGTGTGTCGTATCCCCACACTCTCTCTCTCTCTCTCTCTCTCTCTCTCTCTCTCCACATGTTCTGACTCTAGCGTCTGTCCCGTCTTTAAACTTTCATGTAAATACGCCCAAAAAACTTTCAACTCCAGCAGAAAATAAGGAAATCAAACAGACTTTAAAATGTCAGAAAATACAGGTATGATACAAAGGTACAGGTGTACTGAATTCAGAGAGGTGTTGAATTGAACGGGTCTTGTGCATAAAATCAAAAGTAACAACCTATAATAACCTCTCTTCCTCCCTCTCTCTCTCTCTCTCTCTCTCTCACCCTCCCTCTCTCTCTCTCTCTACAGATGCCTCAGTTTGAGAAGTCGACGGTCCACATGAAGGACCCGGAGAAGGTGGAGCAGATCATCTGTGGCCTCATCAAAGGAGGAGCGTCCAAACTACAGGTGTGTGAACACATTTCAGCACGTGTCAGTCGAAGTCTGTAGAGCGAGTTTTATGAATTGTAGCTCTAAACGGGGAATAATACGGTGGCCGACAGGTTCAAGAACTATAAGACTTACATTAAGAAAAACAGTTTCAGACATCTCGGGGCCGCAAACAACAGAGCCCCCGCTCGGCTGTCTCGTCCCTGGTGACAAAATCCAGACTGGACTCGCTGTAAATCTCCTTGGTGCTCTGATATTGACGTTCAATGTTAGTCGTTTCAGACTTTGCCAAGTGCTTGCACTTTTAGGCCACCTGGTGGTGCTGCAGCTCCGAATCGTGCACTAATTAAAAGCTTCTGATCAGCTGATCAGACAGATCTCGAGTTATTGACTATTGCGGTTTCCTCCTGCAACAGGTGTGTTTTCTTGGGTTTCCCCTGAGGCCTTTCTGTTTCTTCTTGTTTCTGTTTGAAGCCCCGATGTGTCTGATGAACTCATGTATCACTTCTGGTAAACAAACCGCTGTTGGCTTTGTTGCAGATCATCACAGACTTCGACATGACGTTAAGCAAGTTTGCGGTCAACGGCAAACGCTGCCCGACATGTCACAGTAAGTAGAGTCAGACAGTTCTTCAAGTCAGTTTTTTCACCGTCTTTGTGAAGGTGTATTCTCAGTTTCAGGGTGTTTCTCTTGAATGATTCTGTTCTCCTTCTCTGCACAGATATCATTGATAACTGTAAGCTGGTGACAGAGGACTGCAGGCAGAAGCTGCTGCAGCTGAAGAACAAATATTATCCCATCGAAATCGACCCTCATCTCACCATGGAGGAGAAATACCCGTTCATGGTGGAGTGGTAAGACACAAAGCCGCCACAAACACACATCCTAAGGAATTCAGAGTACAAGACGCACTTTTAATCCATGAGGCGACGAGGCAACGCCTGCGAGCCTTTTCAGGGAAAAAACTCCAGCTGCTCTGATTTCATGTCTGACATGCGTCAACTCCTCAATCACCTCACAACACCTCCTTCTGTTCCTCAGTCTTTTTGAAGGTCACTTATCCTCCTCCTCTTCAATCAGTGTAAATAAGTCTCAGAGCTCCTCAAAACATGTCTGTGAAGTTTCTTGTTCTAAATCCACAAAGCATGCTGGGATACCTGGAGGTGCAGACCAGTCGTTTCAGCCCTCATCGTTGCCGAGCGCCGTCTCTTTTTAAAGTTATAAACACGGTGCATATATTAAGGTGTGTTTTTGTGTTTGCAGGTATTTCAAGTCTCACACGCTTCTGGTGGAGCAGCGGTTAGAGAAAGACAAACTGTCCGAGGTGGTGAGAGAGTCTGACGCTGCGCTCAGGTACATGTTCCTTTTTTTACTGTTGCATTATGGGTATTAGGTCCCGAGGTGCTAGATTGTGCACAAATTGAGATATGGATATATTTGAAGAAATAGAGGTTAGCAGGTTTTTTTCTACATACAGCAGCAAGTATTATATTATTTAACCAAGGCAGAGGTTAGCGATGTCACCTCACAGCGAGGAGGTTCCTGGTTGTCTGTCTCTATATGTCAGCCCTGTGATTGGCTGGAGAACAGTCCAGGGTGTAACCCGCCTCTCACCCAGTGACAGCTGAGATCGGCTCCAGCCTCATATAAAGCCCGAATAGATAATAAATGGATTATTTCACCTCTAATTAAGTAAACAAATCTACTTTAAATGAAGCAAGAGAAGGGGCGCTGGTGACACAGTGGTTAGTGCGCGCGCCCCATGTATGGAGCTGTACTCCTCCAAGCGGGCGGCCCGGGTTCGAATCCGACCTGTGGCTTCCTTCCTGCATGTCATTCCCTACTCTCTCTCTCTCTCTCTCTCTCTCTCTCTCTCTCCCACAAAAGTCCAAAAATAAATCTTAAAAAAACATCAAATAAAATAAAGCAAGAGAAGAAGAGAGCAGCAGATTTTCACAAACTTTGACTTGCACTAAAACTTATGGTCATGATAATTTATGGTTTTAATGTTTAATGTTGAACCAACTTGAAATGTGTCACATGTTTCTGCACGATTACAGCCGACCTCGTGGAACAGCGTCGACCTGTAGTATCAGAGTCAGTTCTTCTTTTTGTCTCGTTCAGGGAAGGTTACGAGCAGTTCTTTGACCGCCTGCAGCAGCACACTGTTCCTGTCTTCATCTTCTCCGCCGGCCTGGGCGACGTCCTGGAGGAAATCATCCGCCAGGCCGGCGTCTACCACCCCAACGTCAAGGTGGTCTCCAACTTCATGGACTTTGACGACAACGTGAGTCTGACAGGAGGGACGGGCGCCTCTTTTCTTCCTCTGATGCTGTGACCTCTCAGCCTCAGGACTTTAAAACGTTCTAACGCTGGTTTGTCTGATCTGCTCCTCCTCGCACAGGGCGTCCTCAAAGGTTTCAAAGGCGAGCTGATCCACGTGTACAACAAACACGACGGCGCCCTGCGGAACACGGAGTACTTCAAACAGGTGAAGGAATACCACAACATCATCCTGATGGGAGACTCGCTGGGGGACCTCAGCATGGCCGACGGCGTGCCCAACGTGGAGAACATCCTCAAGATCGGCTTCCTCAACGACAAGGTGAAAACATTTGAAGTGACCACGAAGCCTTTGAGAATCCCGCTTTGAGATGAAGACGTTTCTCTCTCCACCGTGTGTGCGTCGCTTAACAAAAGCATAGAGCGCCCTCTGCTGGTTGAAAAAAAAAAAAAACATTTTTGTGCAATCCATTGAATTTGTCTTCAGTGCATCCCATTAAAAAAAAAACGTGTTTATGCACGTTGTTGTTCATTTGACCTGCATGGCGATGACGGCAGTTATAACTTTTTGTCCTCTCTCTCTCTCTCTCTCGCTCACTCTCTCCTCTTTCTCTCTCTCGCCCTCTCTTTCTCTCTCTCTCTGTCTCTCGCTCGCTCTCTCTCTCTCTCTCTCTCTCT